TTGAACCTGTAGATTTGTTTGTCTGCCTATTCCGACCTTAATAACCCGTGATCATACTATGGGCCACATGTTTACCTCCTCTAAATACGCGTGGTATGATATAGGTGAGGCATTTTTCACAGCCACATAAACTCCACTGCATTAAAATACTTCCTAATATACTTCTGGGATTGAGGGATTGACAATTTAAATGTTGTTTTTTTTCATAAAAAGATATTACATGACACCTTAGCACTTGTACATGCACATGTAGCGTATAGTTTTTCACAAATGTCTCTTTAAGACATTTACACGTATTTGCGTAGTACAAAATTATTTGATTGTGTCTTGACGAAATTTCAAACACAAAAATATCTACCCCGACGTAAGTGAGGTGAAATGGGGTTTAACGTCGCGTCCAAGATTATTGCACTTCTATAGCGACGTGCATGCACGTGTGTGTGTTTGTGTGGCTGCTTGTACTAGTCCGGACTGATGCCGATTTATAGTGCTAGCTCACTGAGATACCATGCCGCAGTTTAACATGAATATCCCACTCAGACACAGTATACTGACTCCGAGCCGACCAGTCCTTGTTTTAGCCCCTTAATGCCGAGCGCCAGACAGGGTAACAACAAGTACCATCTTTTAACGTCTTTTGTATGACGCGGCCAGGGATCGAACACCGGACCTTCCACTCTCCGGGCGTACGCTCTACCACTAGACCACAGAGGCGGTCACCCCAACGTAGAAAGAAATATGCAATCTTCGTGTGCATTAGCCTTACAGAGTAGGCTAAAAGATTTACACAAATTTAAAAGGATAGTGTAATATAAAATGATTTTCGGTGAGGTGTTTAGTGATGGGAAATGTTGGGAAACAGCTGAGAGATTGTGTAACACCCGAAGTATATATCCTTCAACGTGGGTCCCCTTTTCTCGTTTTGTTGTTGAGATTTTACGTGCGCTTTCCGACATGATGCGTATTTCGCACACGATGCAGGTTCCTTCATTCATCCGTCATTTTCCCCTGTTAATGAAAAAAAAGTACTCACAGAAATGAAAAAAACCTTGTTTTTTTCGATCTCAGATTTTAAATAAATGCAGTTAATATACAAAATATATAAATATTCAAACAACTCAATTAGTACTAATTGGGCCTTGGCACAAATACAGCGTATCAGAGGTTTTATGTCTTTTTACACGTAAAAGTGTGTAAAAATATGAACAAAACAGACTATTGTGAAACTGAGCATAACCAGGTGTTAGTAGATCAAGGTGAATGTCCATGACCTATGACACCTTGACGACAGGTGAAAACAGGTGCTTGAAACCCACGTGCATGTGATTTGTCAGTGGTTAGTGATTTGTGAGTGGCATTGTGGGATAGTGAATCATCGTCAAAATATCAGAACGTAAAAGTCACATTCCCTTCTCAAACAACAACTTACATGTCATTATTATTATGTACATAAACATAGCTGTTATTTTTATTGTTGTTTTGATATTTTTTTTCCACGCTAATTTGCATATTGCCTATAGCTTGTTTCTGCCATGTCAATTTTGACTTAGTTTTATTTTTGAATGTTGAAAGTGCCTACAAATTACCTCCTGTAAAGTACATTTTGTATTGAGCACTGAGATAAAACTAGCAAATCCAGACTAGTACTTTTCCAGTTGTTTTGTTATTTCGTATTTACATCTACGTAATGCTTTGTGTCGATTATTAAATCCAGCAAAACAGGTTTTTTTCATTTCCATGAGTACTTTAATGCCTCAGCCTTTATTTTTTAATAAGGTTTAAAAATAGAGAACAATTATGTGACTGTATGTCATCTCACTGCGAATACTTTCAAGAGGTCGCCGTTGTGTGGTGTATTTATATTTATAAAAAAAACCCGGAAAAAATCATTGGTTCTTGGTTGCCAGGATATGACCTCCCTCTGACACTTAACCTCGATCCGACTCAAAAGGTTTAAAAAAGTTGCGCTTTTTATGAAACTTAATAACATAAAATTTGCTCCTGATTTGAAATATCAGGAAAGACGCAGGGGTTTTGAAAAGATGTCTTGGCTTTCAATCAGTATAATTGCGATTTTTCTTTTGCATTTAGCTATTATTGTGTATAATTATGGCGTTGCCACATCAGCGGCTTGTATATATTATCAACGTAATACTTGGCAATATATTTAAATGATTGTATTTCATGAAATATGTGTCTCAGAGGCCTATACCGCCGGGAGTTGTACACCACATGCCTACATGCAGATAGGGGCGGTCGGGTAGCCAAGTGGTTAAAGCGTTCGCTCGTCACGCCAAAGACCCGGGTTCGATTCCCGACATGGGTACAATGTGTGAAGCCCATTTCTGGTGTCCCCCGCCGTGATGTTGCTGGAATATTGCTAAAAGCGGCGTAAAACCATACTCACTCATTACATGCAGATATTTTAACCGTACAAATCGTGACACTTTAATAATTCCTTCTTCTTCTGTGAATTTAGGTTGGAGTTGTTGGGAAATCGAAAAAAAAAATGAAATTAAATTAACTTCACCTACCAATTAAAAATAGATATAGATGACGGGAGCCAAAAAGAATTTTATGTTGCCTACCTATACACAAGTAGAAAGCGACACTTACGTTTATTTTATCAATAACTAGCAATAAGAGCGGCAATATTTACCAACTAGTTAACGCCAACCGTATCAATAGAAAGGTCATCAGTTAATCCTTTGATTGTTTTCTATTTTCACACAAGATTACTGTGATCTTCAATCTAGGTGACAGCTGTCAAACTAGGCTTCCGAGTCATTTTGCTCAAAGTCACATGATCAAGTGGACGAACGTTGATGCTATATTTAACTTATTGCTCCAGGGAGGAGCCGTGGCACATGTCAGTGTTGTAATCACGCTCCATGGTTCCACCTTCGTGGGAATCAGAATCTGAGCTAAAGTTTCTTCTCACGCTAAAAGAAAACAGACAAGTGTCAAAGGTGTGGTTGATAAACAGACTGAAGAGCGGTGTTTTTTTTGTGCCTTCAGTGCAAAATGTACAGCACAACATGCAGATAGAGTTTTTGTGAAGAGGTTCCTGATAAACGCGTGTACGTGATGTTCACTAGTTAGTTTACGATTACTTCAATTTAAAATTAAGAAAGCAACCACATACAAAAAATACCCTTTTTGGCCAAAACAAAATATTGATCCATGATAAATGCACGACGTGTTGTGAAAGTCACACCAAGAACTGTAACAATGAGAAGCAGCAAGGACTGCGCCTGATCCTGCAAGGGGTCATCACTCGAGATCCTCAATTACGGAACCGCTGAACTTGGTAAAAGTGTTCATGAGCAATGTCTACAGTATAAGTCTGACTTGTGAACTCTCAGTGGGTCTGCTGTTATTGAGTTAGTAGAGTTTAATTCCACATTGAATAGGATTTTGTATTCCACCCAAGGATCAAATAGAGGTAAATCAACAATTTGAACCGATTCTCGCCGGGTCTTGGTACGGTATTGGGAAACAACTCTGCACCGTTGCATCGACTTAGACCACTGATGCATGATCAAACCTGCATGTTGAAACCACCTGTTTTAAATTTGTTCATCAAACGTCTGTAGAAGATGAATTTCACTTTTTAATGTTATGTCCTTTATATGATGATCTTAGAAGTATTCTTCTTAGAGAATGTATTGTTTTAAACCCGTTTTTTAAAAAATATTAGCGTTGATGACGCTTTCATTTATATTTTAAAATGTTAAGAAATTCAGCCTTTGTTAACTAGTACACTTTTAAATATGTTTAAACGTAAGCAATCATTTAGCTAGACATTTAGCATTCAGTGTATGTAAATTTTATTGTCAATGTATTTTATAGTATATGATGTTTTATCGTGTCTCATAAGCCTAATGGCTGGGTGTTACTTTTTATTATAAATATATAAATAAATTTGTCATGTAGATGAATTAAACAAACTTATAGTCGACTAGAATATTAGCACTCAGCCTCAGAAAGAATAGCAATTATTATGCATCTTTTTTCTTATTGTAGTTTGTTCTATTCGAATAAATGCAATTATATAATAACACAACACAATACGATTTCGACACTGGGTAACGCAACAATTAATAATTGTGGTGTTTGAAGTGATTAAAGTCATTCATGTACATAGGAAGAGATTATATTATAGATGTTTATAAGCACATTATTTAGGTTTAAGGGTTAGGTTCGTTAATCGTGTGGTCACATCAATAAAAACATGGGTAAAGGAAACTAGTGATATCAAGCACACACAGCTACTGACACATACAGGCTGACCGCCCGCTTGCAAACGTCCTTTGTGAATGTTTGAAGGTTTTCATTGATGATATGAATTTAATTACGAGTTACCGGTCTTTGTTTGTTGATCACATTCTCTGCTTTAGTCCCGTCATATCAATCCTTCACTGTTGTGCATGTGGGTAACAGGTGCAGTTGGTAAGACATAAACAAAATCTGTACAGTATTCAAATATCAAGTGGTGTGCAATTCCATGCGCAACTACATGTATTATCATAGTTGTTTACACCAGAGCCTTTATGCATTGTGAACTTCATTTCAATGCCACATTTAATAATGCAACTATTACTGACAATGGATTGCAACGACAGATCTTTGAAAACAACTTGGTATCAAACAAACCCTGACATTACAAGGCCGTGAGAAACACCTGGTTGTATTCGCCAACTTAAGTACAGCAGTGTCACTCTGTATTGCTACACAATATGATCAGCCACAAACTGACCTCTGGAATACGCCATGCACACACGTTACGCTCTGCATTCAACACGGGTAAAAGTCATTCATTGCTGATGTGTTTTTCATGATTGTTCAATTAGAAAAAGGCACATTTAACTTTTCACTCCGATCTTTAGGTATTGTGTAGGTTGGTGCCTGGTGCAGTTGTTAGGCTTTCAGGAATGTTATTGTCAGTTATTGTAGAATTCAAATTTGAAATGTGGGCAAATCGCATTCAAGCACTGTAAGGATGATGTGGATAACAGTAAGGAGCGAGGGAGGCATGTGCATGGCTAGTGACGACACAACGGTGAGTTAGCTTTTGAATCAATTCTGAAAAAATGTAGCCGGTGAAAGTGGCTTGTGTGATTGTTCCAGGACAGTCTCCAGTAGCCAAAGTATTCAACACAAAACCATTTAATTCTTTTTACTCGATGTTTTTGTATGAAGAATATTAGGAGCCGCTATAGAATCTATAATAGAAACTAAACGAACCTAATGATCGTGAAGGGATGATTAATCGTAAAGGGGATCAAAGGGCTAAGGACAGAATTCGGGTAATCTAATAGCCACTAAACGGATACCTAACCCTAATGATCGAAATCAATCCAGTAGATTTAAACCTGGAAGCAGTGAATGGTACAATGTTCCCTGTCAAAGGGGTATTCAAAGCTCCATTGTTACTTCATAATACAGTGAAACCAACTAACGAAGAGTTCATTGTAGCAAACATTGATGGCTCTTTTGATGTAGATGGTATTCTGGGTATGGACATAATGAATGCTTTGGGGACAGTGGTTGATCTTGAGAGATGTAAGATCAAATTACATGATGTTGGGTTACCGACATTTCAGGGTCAAAGCCCTGCAATTTTGAGTGAAAACACCAAACTTCCACTGTGATCTGTGTCTTTTGTGAAACTTTCTATCCCTACATATCAGCAACTTTCATTCAATGTGATAGTTGAGCCCTATAAAGAGATCTTAGAGCCTATGGGTATACTCATGGGAAATGGTGTTGTGAACAAATCTAAGAATACATATGTTAAAATGATTAATATAACTGATAATATTATTACTCTTACCTGTAGCAAAATACTAGCCAAATGTCAGTCTGCTTACATTCCTTCTAGGAAATGTAATAACACTAAACGGGTGGCTTATGTCTGAGGCTCAGAGATCCCTGAATCTGACCTTACAGATCAGCAACAAGATAAGCTAAAAGAAACTTTGGTCATGTTCCAGGATACATTCGCCAAAAATAAAGATGATTTAGGCGCCGCACTGGTTTGGTTAAGCACACTGTTGATACTGGTGATGCAAGAAGTAGAACGAAAAGAAGTTGCAAGGATGCTAGAACAAGGGGTCATAGTTCCCTTGACCAGTCCTTGGGCATCCCCCACGGTCCTCGTACAGCGCCCTGATGGCCGCTATAGGTACTGCTGTGATTTTCGTGATGTGAACTGTGTATCCAAGAAGGATGCCTATCCTCTGCCCCGTATCAAAGACTGTATAGACAGTCTCGGAGGGGCAAAACTCTATTGTACAATGGACATACAAGCAGGTTATTGGCAATTAGAAATGGCTTCAAAAGATCGAGAGAGAAAACGGCATTTGTCACTAAATCAGGACTATATGAACGACCGTTATGCCTTTCGGACTGTGTAATGCACCCAGTGTGTTCGAAAGGTTGATGGAAAGGTTAAGAGGTCTCCAGTGGGTTGAGTGCCTATTTCCTAGATGATATTATCGTCTTTGGCACCGATTATGAGGAAACTTTAGCAAGGTGTAAGTCAGTTTTAGACAGACTTACTCCTGCAGGCCTCAAGTTGAAGCCAAAGAAGTTTCGCTTATTCCAAACCAAAGTGAACTTCTTGGGTCATGTTATTTCAACAGAAGGGGTACACACTCAACCTGAGAAGATTGAGTCTGTCCAGACCTGGCCTACCCCCAAGTGTCGAAAAGATGTGCTGAAATTCCTGGGTTTGGCGAATTACTATCGTCGATTTGTCAAGGATTTAGCCAAGGTTGCACGAACGTCGACCCATCTAACGAGTCAACAGGTGGACTTCCAGTGAAGCGAGGATGTAGATGTAGCTTTTATGAAGCTAAAAGATGCACTTACCTCTGCACCTATTCTTGTGTTTCCGCAATCTACGTCTATTAAGTTGTTACGCACGTAAACACGTAATACACAAATTAACTTGGAATAGTGCCTATAACTGAAGATAAACAATGAACGAAAACAGGATAAGGCTACGCGCGATATATGAGAACTCTTGCGCATAACAATGAGCAAACAATAGAACAAAAATACCCTTGAAAGTAAAATAGACTGGACCTTTGACCTTTGACCATGTAGAAGCTTTTCAGTAGCAACTACTGATTAGGACACAACTAATATTACATAGGTAACTTACAATATTTGCAGAATTAACACCTACTACAATATCTCAGTGCACCGTGGTGCTGAACATCTTTGTGCAGTTTCAGGTTTATACCTTCACCCGCCTCCAAGAAAAATTCGAAAACAGGCGATGGACGTTGATTTATAGCGCCATACCACATTACTCGGCACATCTATACTGACGAGCATCACCGGGTCGAATAACAGACAATCAATTGTAAACTACATCTCTACTCACGGAGTTTCAGCATACGTTTAATCAAGTTGATCGGTTGGAACTTACTGGCCATAGAAGATTAAGAATATGTCAATGCACAGAGAACTTGTATGTTTCTTGGTCGTAGAGGTGACTTTCGTGAGCATACTTGTATATGTATATTTGACGTCCAATCAAATTGTCAATCACAACACATGGATACACAAACAAGGACACTTCAACCTTTCTGTAAAGGAAGAAAATATTTCACCGAATGAACTGAGAAGGGAAACTGGGCGGCCATGTGTTTTCCCTGAACGCTCGCCAAGTCTTGTTCCATGTCAGCAGAACAACCTCAGTGAGTTGGCTTTTTGTTTCTTTCTTAATTCTAATAGTCATATTTTACCCTGAAAAATCGTTGAGTAAAATGATAACTGTGAAATAGGATTCGCTTGATAAAAGAATGTTTTTGAAGCATTTTCACAGCTATGTTCTTTTTAGACCCCCTATATCTTAAAGCTTTAAGAATTACCTTTTTCATCACACGTTGGATCTTTAAAATCCTCTTTTGGCAGGACCAAATTAGACTACTAGTATTTTTAGATGCCACCGTGAGTTAGCTGTATTATTAATTTTAAATTATAATGTCAAATAGCATTCACTTATTCAATACAATACCAAGTATATGGTAATATGATAACGCAGTCATTTGCCATGCGAGATGTACCGAATAAACCGATATGTTTTGTTTCTTTGTATGTTATTTAACGCCGCCCTCAGCAATATTCCAACTAAATGACTTGGGTCTGTAAATAATCGAGTCTGGACCAGACAATCCAGTGATTGACTTTATGAGCATCAATCCAGGCAACTGACATACGATGACATACATCAACTAAGTCACCGATCCTGACCACATGATATTTACCGATATGTGCCTATCATGTTTCGCATGAATATATGGACCTTTCCTTTTGACCCTTTTATGTGTTGCATCGCCAAATATGTCGCATTCGGCTGGTCTAGATATCGATTTCGTCATGTAGCTGGAATGTTGCTGAGTGCGGCGTTAGGCAACAAACAAATGTATCAAGCATAAGATGATTTTTATGTGGGGCAGGATACGCTTACCTGTTTTTCGAACATTGATATTAGCGCAAATTGATAGTGATTTATAAACACATGTATATGATTAAGTCTGAATCGCACAATGGACACTGCTTTTAGCAGAATTGCCTTATGACTAAGGAAGAGGTTAAGTAGAGTTTTGTTTTGACGTATGAGCAGGCAATATCTTAAGTGCCGTTTCTGGAACGCCAATTTGACTGGATCACATGACAACAGTGTGTCCACGTTCATGATTTTGTCGCCAATAAATAGCGAGTCAGTTGTTAACACAATGATCACGATCACGTATAGACGGCTCTCACGTCAAGCACTTGAAATTGCAGTGGCACCTGTTTTGACCCAAAATCAAAAGAACACCACATCTAAATTTTATAGAGGCGCTTCTCAAGCAAACTACTGATATAATTGTACATGCTGTTTAAGATGTCTTTTAGACAGTTTGCATTTATCTGAAAGTAGATGTGTTTTCACGATGCGAGACTTTTGATTCCCACTACTGCTTATGTTGCTTCATCGAACACTCGATCTGACTGACAGTGTCATGAAGTCACAAAGTCATAACGAATACTTCATGATTTTCGTTTTCAAAATGTATTTTCGGTCCAACATGTACGTGTTTAAATTTATTCTCTCGGTGTATGTTGCCACTCCACAAATAGCATGATAGAAATGTTAAATATACATTTGCGCACTTATGTTTCCGTATTTTCAAATAAACGATTGCATTTTGGACACGTTAGCACGTTAAATACATTTATCCTATTGCATGTTGTCTGGTCTGGCTTCCACTTCGAACAGCCGGGTTATATCCCTGAAGTGTCACAGTAGACATCTCGCTGTAGTTGAAGCACTGGGGTATTGGGGTTAAAGATGTCAGTCATGGCTATCTTTGATCCACGGCTTTTGCAATGTGTTTACTAATTCAGGACAGACAAGACGAATGACAAAAGAATAACTTCCATGGCTTGACCTTGAGACGACCTTGAGTGCGTGAGAGAGTTGAATTTAACGCTGCTTTTAACAGTAATCCAGTTATTTCACGACGTGTCAGCTTAATGTGGGAGGAAAGCCCGAACTGATGCAGGTCTCAGATGTTTACCTATTCGGTAAAACCCGGGAGCACGGGTATGGTGCTGACAAACCTAGAAACATAATCGGGAGAACCGTGATTCGAACCCACAATCATAGGTTTCTGGCGTGCCCAAGGGACGCAACTCTGCAGAGCATATCTCGGGGGGCCTTAGACGACTGGGCAACCCATGACCCCAGACAACCTTGCATCAATGAATATATATGTGTAATAAGACATCTTTGAAAATAATCATTTCCATTTATGTATATCAGTAATTGTATCGGTGATTTTCTTTAGGTGAGAAACGACGAATACTAAAAGAATCGCTACCATGGCTTGATCTTGAGACGACCTTGAATGCGTCCATGACACTTCTTCCCGGGGGGTACCACCAACCGCTTGGATGTGCCTCACCACAGCGACTTGCCATAATAATTCCCTACAGAGACAGAGAGGTGAACCTGAAGATCCTCCTCAACAACCTCCACAGAGTGCTCCAGAAACAACAGGCGGAATATGCCATCTTTGTGGTGGAGCAGGTGTGTTGACAGTACACCTCACAGCTTAGGAGTAGACAGTCTCACCGTTGTGTGGACAACACAATTGCGGAAGTGAGTGAGTTGACATTTAAAGTCTCATTGGCAGTATTTCAGCCATAAAGTGACCCCTTTGTACAGTCCACATATTTCTCTGACGATACCCGTGGGTTCAGCAAATGTTCTGAATATCCACTTGGTTCACTTTGGGCTTCTAACAACAGCTAGCGAACACACTGCCATACAACTGAAATAATGTTCAAATGCACGGTTCATCCAACTCACCAACTCACTCGTCTCACTGACCTGTGAAGATTCCGGGGTAGAATAGGTCTTCAGCAACCCATATTTTCTGTAAAAGGCGACTATGCTTGTCGTGAAAGGCGACTTACAGGATCGGGTGGTCAGGCTCGCTGACTTGGTTGATACATGTCATCGATCCCAATTGCGCGGCTCGATGTGCATGATATTAATCACTGGATTGTCTGGTCCAGACACGGTTATTTACAGACCGCCGTCATACAGCTGGAATATTGCTGAGTGCGGCGTTAAACATCCAACCAACCAATCAACCAACACTCTTCTCACTTTTCCTTTTTTTTAACATAATGAGATTACAGGGATGGTGGGGGATTAGGTTAGATGACCCTGATCTTTTTGTTGTCAATGTGTATGGTTGTGAGGTATCCTTGTGAAGAATGAAATACATTTTTACTTTATTAACACCTTCCATCTTGAAGACTGACTTGCAATGAAAAGGAACAGACGAATCATAATAAATTACCAATAGCGTTAAGATCATGGTTAGAAATGTACTTCAGCAACCCATGCTAGTATGAGGCAACTTATCGAGTGGTCAGGTTTGCCGACTTGGTTGATGCATGTCATGGTATAACAGTTGCGTACATTGACGCTCATGTCAATACTTGATTGGAAAACAAAGAATATATATATTTATATATTTCTTTTTCAGGAAAATGGTACACCATTTAACAGAGGATTGATTAAAAACATTGGTTACGTTGAAGCCAAAGCTCTTTGTCATTTTGACTGTTTCACCTTCCAAGATGTCGACTTGGTGCCTGAGAGTGAGAGGAATACCTACTGGTGTGGTGCGAGGGCTTTACATCACTCTCAAAGACTCGACATACTGAAATACAGGTAGATCCAACCCTTTGACATCCTGTTTACAGAAATGATAGCATACTGTTTTAATGAATTTTGGTACGATTTTAGAATCACTGTTCAGCTTGACGTTTTGAAGAGATGGTCTGAGGGACAGACCTTTTATTGTCTTATCTTGCACCAAATTCTGTTGATATCAGACCAGGAGTGTTACACAGTACACATCCCATCTAACAGCTGAAATACATAAGTTAGGTGATCCAGAGGTTAATTCCAAATCATTGTTCTTCTTCATGTTGGATTATTAAATTCAAAATGCTTCTGGTGGTGCATGGTTGGTTTTCAAGATGTTCCAATTCCTGTTTTCGGAATGATGGATTGCACATATCCATTGAATTTCTATTTAAGGTTTGTTAATAGCATTAATCCCATTATCTGATAACGCATCAAGAAGAGAGCTGATAATAATGCTGCGTTCGTCGACTTTAAGTGATTGATTGGTGTGTTTGGTGCATTTAATTAAAACTTTCATTTTAGTATGTGATGGGAGCTACAAAGTTTGTGCCTGACCGAGGAGGACATGTCAAATGTTCATAAAGAAAAATGTTCTTGTATCTCACTTGGTGTGTTGGGGCAGACTAAGACCCGGCTTCGATTCCCCACATGGGTATAATGTTTGAATCCAATTTAAGGTGTCCAAGTAAAATCATTCACTCACTACAACAATAAGCTGACAAACTGACATACAATTGAAATAATAGCTGCGTTAACCATAACTCACACACTCATTTCCAGGATATTTTACAAGAATCACTTTGGTGGTGTGATCACCTTCAACGAGACTCTTTTCTCCACCGTCAATGGTTACTCTAACTTGTACTTCACATGGGGAGGTGAAGATGATGACCTGTTTCACAGGTAAGGCTTTTCAAACAGTGACTGGGAGAGCCATGCGCCAAGCCCAGTTCACGCATATTGTAATAAAAATGGAGCATAATACTTGCAGTTAGGGGTCTGTATGCCCTGTACTTTTCTTACCTGCGCCACCAAGTTTACGTTGACAGACATACCACAATTTAATTTCAACATCACGACCTATGTACCCCTTCTTTGTTTACACTACAGCACTCATTCATACAAAATCGTTCGTTTTTTAAATTCCTTCCGAAATGTCTCGATTACGTATGATTTGAACTGGTTACATCATGCATTTGTTCAGCTCGCTATTCCAAATATGGAATGTAGGTTGGGTAATATCGTTTTGTCGTGTGTGTTGTGCGCTATTGCTATTTCGTGTATTGTGCACAGTCAAAAACTACTTCGTATGGCTTCGGATGAATGAACATGATGGAGGTACCAAACTTAGTCAATGGAAATAAGAAATTTCCGATAAAACATCATGATCACTTAAGTTATTAATTTATCATTTCAGTTGTAGTTCTGGTTATGCTATGTATACATTGTTTTATATGCAGAGATTATGATCACTCTGTGTATTTGTCTCGGAAACTAACCCTGAAAAATAACAATCAGCTCTACACACATTTTCTCCCAATCTGGAATTAAAACAACATACATATATGTATAAACATTTCGAATAAAGATCACCCGATTAGATATCAAGCTCAATAACTGAAATTACCACGGTTCAATTGTAACAGCAATGTCGGTTTGACGTTGCGGTAAGATGACGTAGGTAGATGCATACATATAAGCAAAGACAGACCCCCCATGGTACCATAATGTCCACTCGTACTGTGACAGTATCATTGCTGGAAGATTATGAGTACAGTGCAGTGTCATACAAATAGTATAACTAGGATAGAACGAAATTGCAATTATATCAGTGACGTCAAACGCGACAGGTGCTAACGGCACTAGTTATAGGCCCCAATCGTTCACAAAGGGCAAAATCACTAAGTAAATCATAATGATGGCAAACACAGAAAGCGCCTGAGGAATACCACATGCATACTTATTTCATATCGATATACAATCATTTTCAGATTGCTGGAAAAAAAATGCCCTATGAATTCAGCAAATATCCTCGTTACACTACTTTGACGCATAAGACAGAGCCGCAGCATACAAAGGAAGGGTAAGTGGAATTGTGCTCTCCACTTTCAGAACATGTATATGGAACAATACATTCAACATGATACAATGAACAAACACGCCAATGGACATATATGCATGTCATCGTATCCCAATTGCATGGATTGATGCTCATGATTTCAATCACTGGATTGGTCCAGACTTGATTATTTACAGACCGCCATCATATATGCTGAGTGCGGCGTTAAACAACAAACAAACAAACACTCACCGTGTTAAGAATTTAGTTAAAATTTAATAAATAACATTTTTCACTCTGAGAGAGTGTGTATCTTACACTATGAGAGTGTGTGTGTCACATTGAGAGAGTCTGTCTGTCACACTGAATGTGTGTATGCCATTAAGAGAGTGTCACTCTGAGAAAATATGTGTGACGTTGAGAGAGTGCTTGTGTTTCACACTCGCGACGTGCATGCACGTGTGTGTGTGTGTGTGTGTGTGTGTGTGTGTGTGTGTGTGTGTGTGTGTGTGTGTGTGTGTGTGTGTGTTGGAATGCTAATACTTTTTCTACCAGTTCAATATCGCTTGTGCAAAATACATTATTTTCATCATGAAACTGGTGTTAATGTGTAGTTTGCGCTTTTAACTACCTTAAGTACCATGCGAATATTGAATATGATTCACACACATGCGTTAAACAGTCGCCCAGTGCCCGTGACAATTACTAGTAGCATTACGGTATGTAACAAGAACTTGTAGCAAGAGTACAGTAATTACAAAATGTCTGTACAGTATTAAAACCATGGTTTGTTCGTTTGTAGTTTGATTTCGTGTATAATATACAATGCCAGGCCATTTACTGACAACACAAACCGACACAGTTTTCAACAGAGGAATAGACCTTTTTGAATTGCGCTATGATACAACACAAACATAGCCAGCAGCAATGCTTTCATTAGATTACCAAGTCGAATACTAGTAGTTTGATGAATAGTTTCACTGACATAGCCTAAAGTGTCGTGGTTTTAAAAAAAACCTTTGAAGTATGGTCGCTTACATATGACTGTTTGATACAGTCTATTCCGGTAAATGATAAATGAGTGAGTGGGTTGGGTTGTGAGGCCGCCAAGAATAGTTGTCATGTAGTCAATTCCAAAACCTGTGACATCACTTGTCGTGACGTTACATGATTCATTTATGCTCTATTCATATTTCTTTAAGAAGAATGTTATTGACCATATCATGTAATAGATCATGTTGTGTGTAGACTTTTGGAATGGGCAATACAGCATTAAAGTCATGGTTAGGCAATGCTATGACAGCAACTATAGATATAGTTACATTTCAGACGTTCAGGACAGTATGTAAAAAAATAAAGCAAATGTCATCTGAAGTTTACTTAGGAAACAATTGTGAAATGGTGCATTTCCTCGTGGTTAACATCCATAAAATTAAAATAAATTTTGCGGAAAGGACATTCAGGCAAGAAGTAGGCATCCTCATGAGAACCAATTGTGCTCTCATCCTTGCTGATCTGTTTCTTTATGTATGTGAAACGGTATTTCTTCTCGGACTGTCAACATCAAAACAAGGAAATTTGGCCAAAATGTTTCACATATATCGATGATCTGATATAGTTCAATAGTGATAAAATAGCCAATTCAATTTTACTAGTGAATTAGAAATAAAAGACACCAATGAACCCGCATCATCTGTTTCTTATTTAAATCTATGCTTAAAGATTCAGAGTGACAAAAATACCCACAAAACTGTTTGACAAGAGGGATTATTTCAACTTTCAAATAGTCAACCATCCCGTTATGTCGAGCAGTATTCCTGCTGCTCCAGCCCTTTATATCGACATTTCACAACTGTTGAGGTACAATCGAGCATGCTCTTTCTACGAATATTTCGAAGAGGGTCATGCGACTCTTGTTCAAAAGTTGTTTGGTCAGGATTACAACATACACCGCTTTAGAAAAGCTTTGAAAACCATTTATGGTAGGCATGTGGAGGACATTCCCAAATTTGACGCATCAGTGACAAAAATGATGTCTGACGTGAGGTGAGGTGGAATGGGATTTAACGTCACGTCCAAGATTATTGCATTTATATAGGGACGTGCATGCACGTATGTGTGTGTGTGTGTGTGTGTGTGTGTGTGTGTGTGTGTGTGTGTGTGTGTGTGTCTGCTTGTACTAGTCCGGACTAATGCCGAGTTTATAGTGCTAGCCCACTGAGATACCATGCCGCAGTTTAACATGAATACCCCACAAAGACACAGTATACTGTCACCGAGACGATCAGTCCTTGTCCTAGACCCTGAATGCCAAGCCCCAGACAGGGTAACAACAAGTACTATCTTTTAACGTCTTTTGGTATGATGCGGCCGGGTATCGAATCATGGATCTTCGCTCTCAAGGCGGATGCTCTACCACAAGACCACTGAGGAGGTCGATGTCTTGTCGATGTTGACTTGTACTATATACCATCTTGATCAATATTTAAATATATATATATATTCTATGTGAAATACAGCCGATTCGTCAAGTGAAAATCAATGAATTAGTTTAAATGTACATTATTTATAATCGATTTATGTATTTTCTTCAGGAGGACTCTGTATGGAAAAAGCCACGTGAGATTTAAGAACGACGGCCTCAACAGTATGGGACGACTTTACCGGTTAATATCTGTGGACTACAAGCCTCTATATACCCGAATATATGTTTCTGTCAATCAGACTGAAGTACTCACTCAGCTGAAGCATTATGGCATTAGGTTATGAATGTTTCACTGGTTAGAACTCTTCATGGTCTCGGCAGAAACCTTTTTCTTATTAATCATTATTATATATATGATCTAATATGACTTACGTTATTCCACCATAGTGTGTTGAGATTCTTGATTATCAGCATATCTGTCAACTCTCACAGATGACGCTCACTACAGGAAAACTCAATCATTTATTAAGAAATGTTTATAAACAAATATATTTTCCATCTTTCTTGCTCTTCACAAAAAAAATACAATGGGAACCTAAGGACCCAATTACACACTATAAAAAACTTGGTCTTAGTCCGTATGAACCCCACGGTCCCTAGTATTCTCAGATTCAAAGGCAAAGAGTTCATAACTGTGGACTGCAAAAGGAGAAGGCACGGTCAGACATAGCAGAAGTAGACAGAGGCTGATACAGTAGCGTTCCACCAGAGGAGCGGAGAGCACGCTCTGGAGAGTATAGGGATATAAGATCTTTGAGATAGTCTTGATAGTCGCTATTGTTGAGGCAGTCGTGAGTGATGATACATATCTTATAGTTTATACGAAAGGAGACTGGAAGCCAATGTAGTGCTTTGAGGACAGGACTGATGTGATTGGATCTTGGAACTTTAGAGATGCATCTAGCTGCAGGGTTCTGAATGCGTTGTAGCTTTGATATGGCTTTCATGGGAAGATTAGCATACAATGCATTGCAGTAATCCAGTTTGAAGGTAACAAGACATTGCATCAACAATTTAACTGTTGGAGTATCAAGTAGATGGCGGACTTTACTGATGTTATAGATGCTATGGTAGCATGCAGTGCTGGTTAGTGAAATATGAGTGTCCATGGCCATTGTTGAATCAAAGATGATTCCCAGATTATGGGCACTGGCAGTTGGGTACACAGTGGTATCACAAATATGAAGGTATACAGAATCAGGGTGAAGCTTTCTGACTTGCTGTCTCGATCCAAGGATTAAAAACTCAGTCTTCTCTTCATTGAGTTTGAGATAATTGAAGCTCATCCAGGATCGTATGTCATCAATACAGCGCTCAAGTGCGGCGAGGTTCAGAGACAGTTCGGAAGTTTTAAAGGAAATGTAGATCTGGTTATCGTCCGCATAGAGGTGGAAGTTAAGAGCATGTTTATGGATGATATCTCCAATTGGCAGGATGTAAATCGTAAATAGCTGAGGTCCAAGGACTGAACCCTCTGGTACACAATAGTGACTTTTGCATGTTGTAGAATGACGATCATGGATCTTAAGAGACATGGTCCGGTCAGACAGGTATGGCTGGATCCACTGGAGAGCTGTTCCCCGAATGCCAAGTCGTGTTGAGTCTGTGTTATAATATTGTGTGATCAATAGTATCAAAAGCAGATGAGAGGTCAAGGAGAACAAGAAGAATGGTTTTCCGCTGCCCAAAAGATGTCAAGGTGTCGTTGTGGACCCGAACGAGTGCTGTCTCAGTACTGTGACTTGACTTGTATGCAGACTGGAATTTTTCACAGAGATAGTTTTGTTTAAGATGATGTTGTAGCTGCACAGCAACAATCTTTTCCAGGCATTTAGACACGAACGAGAAATTGGGCACAGGTCTAAAGTTTTAGAAATTGTCGGGATCCAAACCAGGTTTTTTGACGATGGGAGTGATGTGAGCATATTTCAGTTCACTTGGGAACTTGCCATGAGACAGAGACGTGTTGATAATGTCCCACATAGAAGGTGTCACGTGATCCATTATGGTCTTGAATAGCCAGGTAGGAACTAGGTCAAGTGAAAACGTCTTGGATGGAGCATGCTTGATAGTGTCCGATACGGCTATCAAAGAAACGTGACTGAAGGAGGTTATTTCATTTCCTTACTTTGGTTGCTGGCGATCTGTAGCCCGTTTTTGTTTTATGTTTTATATTATATCTGTTTTGAACAAGTTTTGAACAAGTTTGAGCAAGCCTGTAAATGCTCTTGCATTGACAATGTATATTTATGTGTACAACATTAAATCGGAGGTAGTTTGTAAAGACATGTGAACTATCTCGTGATATTTGCACTTACACAATGGAATAATCGTGTAGCTAACTGAGATTTTCCGTGCGCTTCATTAGTTCAGTAGGCCCCAAACCCGGTAGGTTGGAATGGAATGATCATACCTACATGTATTGGTAAACGTGAGTGAGTGAGTATGGTTTTACGCCGCTTTTAGCAATATTCCAGCAATATCATGGCGGGGGACACCAGAAATGGGCTTCACACATTGTACCCATGTCGGGAATCGAACCCGGGTCTTCGGCGTGACGAGCGAACGCTTTAACCACTAGGCTACCCGACCGCCCCTGTTTTGTTTAACAATGAAGTTATAACTGGAACATGTAAGAATTGACTTTTTATATCCATATTTTATGCCGCGAGCGTCGAGGGATGTATTACAAAATTTCATTTAGTATGTATTGCTACATGTTTACACGGACAGTCATACAAACAACCAACCGTAACGCAGAATAAAATAGTTCATCAAAAGGGGCGGTTGCATGAGTGTATGTATGTTTTAATTTAATATCATTTCGACGACTGAATTGGCCAAAACGCAGTTCTATGTCCAAACAAACCTCAGATTTGGAATCCTTGAGGTAGAAAACCTATAAAAAGAGTCTGTATGATCTTATGACTGGTTATGAAGTTGGCCATCTTGGATTTTTGCCAATAAGGCGGCCCTAATGAGCGTAGGCTTTGGCGCCCTCCAAAAATGAATTTAGTATGTTCTGGCCTACACCAGTGCCAAATTTGATGCTTGTAGACACATCTGCACGATAACCCCTAATGGCTTCCTAAGTGGTCTGGACTAATGGTTAGCTTGTCTTCCTAGCCCGGTGTCCATTTGATACGGTTATACACCCTGTTCATAAAATGGAATTCTCCGACATTGTTTAAATACAGCTACAAAAATAAATTTAAAGCTTGTACATTTGAGTAACATCCTTAAAGATGCTGTTGATATCTCATCTAAGAAATAAACGACTCATGGTTTATTCTCCCTGCAGTATTTTATTGTACGATTATCAACTCCCACTGGTCATTTATTTCTTAAATATTTTTTAATGTGAAATTTACACCATACGTGTTTTTCCATTGGACAACAGGTCGGCCACATGACCGGGAAACTGGCGTTTATTTTTTGAACGACACAATTTGACGTTCATACGTTTTTCAAGAGGCCGTGTTCTTGAAGTGACTTAAATCTTGACGAACTACTTCCACGTTCCTGGGTTAACCCGTAGGAATTCCCTCGCACAAATACATACAGAAGCGTTGTTTCTCAACATGTAGACCCTTTAATCTTCAACTCTGCGTTTTAGCCAACATTGAGAAACGTCAGAGAGTTTGACTGCAGAATCGTTCACGAATATCCTCCCCATGACCAATTCTATGGTTATCAAAACGAAGAAATGCACATCAACTATCGCAGCACCGACTCGATCCGTGTCTAGATTAGTCTACAGCAATCTATGAGTTTACCATAGTATCTTTTTGACACATCTTCATAATCACCTTTCAAAGCCAACTGATCAATGATGACTAACACATGTAACCACCACAGGTTCATGAACAACTTCGGAAATCTCTCCCGTCACGTTTATCGTGTCGGCCATTTTGACGTCTTGTACTTTATATAAATGTATTACTACGCGCTGTATTTGTGCCTGACGCACTGAGGTAGTTCTTACGGACCTTTCTCACCCGAAGATGATATTACTGGAATACATTTCTGGTAAAGAAACTACAACAGATGTTCCTGTAAAGCAAGTTGATCACACACTCGCTCATGCCACCTCTCTTTTTAGGTAACTATTTTATTCCGCGATAAAGCTGGTTGTTGCATGGCTGTCAGTGTAAATATGAAGTGACACGTATAGATCTAGAGCTACCACCCTCGAGGAATAAGTATTGTAAATATTGTATGTAAAAAAAAAAAAAGAATTGACATCTAGAGTGAGGGCCAAACATTGAAAGAAAGTCGTCGCAAGCTTCGACGTTCATACGCTTTGGCCCTCGCTCTATGAAGGTTCATACTCCAATGAACACACACAGTTAAAGTAAATTCTTTAATAAACGAAGTGAGTATTGTTGAACGCGGTTTGTAAATGATAAAATAAAAAGGTGACCGAGAGCACGAGCACTGATCCAGGGCTTTGTGGTAATCAACATGCAAACACATGCAATCAACCTGGTGATCGACAGAGTCTGCCCACACCATTTTAGTGATCACATAAGACAAACGCACTTATCACACCAATACCCTGTGTGAGAGGACATGTTCTTGTTTTTGTAGCACTTTATACCATAGTAACTAAGCGAGTCTAAAGTCTGAAGGGGGGTATTTAACTCTCGAGGCAGACGCTTCTATTCATACGTAAATGCCATTGTTATCAATATTACGCCAATCTAGCGACGACGGACACCAGTAATGTGTGTTAGCCCCGGTGGGGCAGAATCCGCTCACCATTTTGTGAACACCTCGTGTCATCACAATTTGATAGTGATTAGTAAATACATACTTATGATATAGTATTTGAGTATGGTTTTACGCCGCTTTTAGCGTTATTCCAGCAATATCACGGCAGGGGACACCAGAAATGAGCTTCACGCGTTGCCTTGCTTATGATATGATCGTACAATGAAGTGTGCTTTCAGCAGAGACTTTATTGGCCTTGACCAAGTCTATAATTTGGGAGACACCCTTCTCAAACCAGTATTTCAAGAAAAATGATTTCCTATTAATTTCAATATTAGGGTTATAAATATTGGTAAAGTTGAAAAACTACTGAAAGATTCAGGCTTGATTTCTTATCAAACACTTTAAATGACTGAAAACAACTTTTCCAAAACTCATTACTTATCAAAGATAATTTTCTCTCAAATTCAACACGTTTACACAAATAAGGCTATGTAGATTTAAATAGGTACTTCCATTTTTGAGGACCCGAGGACACAAGTCTCCTTATCCATGTGGCTTAAAGGGATGTTACGTATGAAAAATTATTCACCATACCTAAGCCCCCTTGCTTAACAGGTTGACAAATTTCAATCCTCTTTACTTTATCTCGTTTATCACTCCAAAGAAATTTAAAAAGCATAGCATTTAAAGTAACAAGAAAATCATTTGGGGGATCAGGCAGTGATAACAATAGATAATTGAGTTTTGAAATCAACAAGGATTGAATGATTGCTACCCTACCAATTGGTGTAACTATCCGTTTCATCCACCTATTCATAATCTGCTTTAACTCAAATAATTTGTTCAAATTTAAGTTCAACTGAACCATTTTTTCCAGATTTGTGCAAAATGTGACTCAATAGACAAATCATCTTTGAACTTTACCTTACAGCCTCTCTTGGAGCCAGGCCAGATAACTTGAGTTTTATTATAATTAATCTTAAGACCAGATATTTTGGCAAAACCATCACGAAAGTTAATACATGATACAAAGGAGGACTGGCTACCATCAAGTAATAATTCCATATCGTCAGCACACTGACTAAGAAGATACTCACTACCGTCCATCTGGATACCTTTGACGTCTCTGTTAGAACGGATCATATTGGCTAGTATTTCTGCACAGAGAATAAATATATACGGTGATAATGGGTCACCCTGCCGACAACCGCGTCCGATATTAAACCAAGATGACAACTGACCTTTGGTGGACATACAGCTTTTTATATAGTTGTAAAATACAGATATATACTTTCTTAAATTTTCACCAAATCCCCGAAAGGATAAAGATTTGTCTATTAATGACCAAGCAATGGAATCAAATGCCTTCTCAAAATAGTGACATGTCATAAAGCCAGTCTGATCTTCATTAATGATAAATGGCAATTTTGATTTGATTCTATTTGTTATGCATGAAGATGCTAGTTTATATGAAACATTCAATAGTGATCAGGGCCTCCAGTTCGTTATGAAGCATTTAGGCTTGTCCCCCTTTTGAATACAAACAAAAACCTGTTCTCAAGGTTACAGAAATAACTGCTAACTCTTTCACCAATTCCAGCCATCTTGTGTTGCCTAATTTCCTCTAGTTCTTTTCGTATATCTTCCAAATCATCAAGATTAATATTACTAGGATCTGTGTAATCAGGTTTTGTTCTTTGTCAATATTTTTGTTTTCTTGAAGGAAGAATAAGATACTATTTTTCCTCTGATTTCCAGGAGCAGGACAAAAAATAATTGGCTGCGAAATTTGCAGACGAGTCTAAATTGGGACCATAAATATTCATAAGTCTTACCCGTTGATCACTAATAGTTATATCTAATATAAGTAAATTACCATTGTCATCCATATAAGTCTTATGAATCTTATAGTCCGCATTTTTGTTAAACAAAATCGCAACACCCCTTGACTGGCTGTTTTTGGAATTGAAGATGCAGTCAAATCCCCAGTGATCTTAAAATTGGTTCTAGTTCTTTTGTAAAATGTGTATCCTGTAGTAGATGAAATGAGTATGCTTAAGATCGTAAAAAAATAAAACATCCTTTCTCTTGGCATTATCTTGCAGTCCTCTACACTTCATAGAACAGCAGGTAAAACCTAAGTTAGCCATTGTCAATAAAAGATTTGTTCACATACAAAGAGGACATATGAAAGATCGAATTAACACACTTTCTACACATACATACACTTTCACAACTATCTGAAGGATAAGCTTTAAAACCACAAATGACTGAAATCAAAGTCACACTTGCTTCTACAAACTTAAAGTAAAACATCGTATGATTCAAAGTGGCACCATGTGGCTACCACCAGAAAAAAAGGGGGTAAAACCTTCACCCAAAAGTATTTGTGGCATATAACAGAAAAGACCAAGAGTAAAACTAGCTGTCATAATGATAAGTAAGAAGCACACAAGTGCCAAACCATTACACAACTAAATACTGTCCAATGTGAAGCTAACATCCCACATTCAGAGTAACTAGTGATTCGGATGAACATTTCCTCATACAATATTCAATTGACCCACATCACTTTAAACATGATAAACTAAATTAGGCTGTGGCATACAGCGAGTAAGCACTAACATAGTAATAAAGAAATAAAAGTAGAAAGTAGCCAAACCAACACACTGTCCGATATGTAATTTACGAGTTATAAAATATTTACAAGTTCTCTATTGGTCAAGAGTTTAACTGATGAACTGATTATGCAATGCATATAAGAATTATATCTAATATTAGTATGCAAATAAGTCTTATCATTATTGTCTTATACAGTAATTCTACAGTATACTAGTTTTTTTGTTTTTTAACGGATATCTACAGTTTATTTTTCATAACTTGTTCGTGAAAACATATTTCAACAAAATTACCAGTAGCTGACAACAAGCAGCTAGCACTCCGTTAGGAGTCAATTAGATAATCAGATATCAATTGGCACCACCCTGCCCACCCATCCAAGTACAATACACACAGGCGTCATGTAGACATTGGTGCAAAGTACTTTAGTCGCTCTCTGACATCGCTTTTTGGGAATCTCCAGAATCCAGAGTTGGTTGGTTGGTTGTTTAACGCCGCACTCAGCAATATTCCAGCTATATGACGGCGGTCTGTTCATAATCGAGTCTTGACCAGACAATCCAGTGATTAATATCATGAGCATCGATCCACGCAATTGGGATCGATGACATGCATCAACCAAGTCAGCAAGCCTGACCACCCGATCCCGTTAGTCGCCTTTTACGACAAGCAGAGTCACCTTTTATGGCAAGCATTGGTTTCTGAAGACCCTGAATTTGATGATAATATCTATGAGACCTTTTAAGCCGAACACAGCCTTTTTCATCAAGAGAACAGAAGAATCGAGGATCCTTGGCACACTCCTTGGGCTCCATCCATTTCCAGTCACAACGTGCAGGAACTTTATCTCAAGAACACCACCAGTATGCCCATCAACAGTTTGTATCAAACCATCTGGGCTAGCACCACACTGTTCCACACAAACACAGCTTTGTTTACTGTTTGATAGGCTTTGCGTGCTGCAGGTTCGTGACTGGTTCCCCATTTACAATAACTAATATTAGAAATGTCTCTGTAGCCACATACATCTTTCAGAAGATTATCCGGCTTCGTGTCATTACACATCAACACAGCATCTCCAAATTTAGAAGAAGTAAGTCTTTCACTCCTGGCATCTAACCACATGTGAATGTTATGCTGACATCTTGTTAAAGTCTCAAAACGGTTGGCATCTTCCTCTGGCACATTCATACAATTAAATGATGCCTGCAATTCATCCTGACAATCAGTGGAATGAAAATCTACATGATTACAATATGAAAAGGAAATGTTATGAAGGGGAGGTAAAGAGGGTTTCGTGTTTGATGACGTAGAAGTGTCTGTATAAAACTTTAACCAGCCAGCATTTGAGTTCAACTCTTAGCCGACTTATCCATGTGGTGTGGTCTAGGCATTCCTTCTTGTTGCTTGCAGGCAATGATGGTATAACCTTGCATCGAACGATAGCATGGCTGCATACGTCTGAAACAGTGCTAAACCCAATATACAAAAGACTTATGTTGTAGCTTCACGTTCATGG